GAATATAATAAATACCCATGTGTCCACAGTGTTATCATACTGAATGAATGAATGAACGAATGAACGAATGAATGTACAAACAAGAGAACAGACGAAATCTCCCGTGCAGAATTCTAAATACTTCATACAGATCCTCAGTCTCCTGGGAGGTGAAGCATAATTCTCACTCCTCGGGTGTGGGCTGTCCAAGGGGAACCCCTCCCAGAGAGACCAGTTGAGGAGGAAAGAGTAAGCTTCATGGTGGAGGAACCTGACAAGCCCTACCCCAGCCAGGTGACAAAGGCCAACACCAATCGTCACAAATCGTGTGGACAGCAGACACCTTTGATGTGGTCACTTTACCTCCGTGGTCGCCCTCCCCAAACACACAGCTCCGGTGTAATCGTGAGAAAAGCATCAGAAAAATCCCCATTGAGGGACACTATATAAAACCAGCAACTCCTTAAAACCGCCAAAATCATCAAAAACAAGCCAAGTCCGAGAAACTGCCTCAACCTAGCAGAGCCTGAGATATGATGACTAAATGTGCTGTGTTATCCTGGATGGGGTCCTGGGACAGGAAAAGGACATTAGGCAAGAGTTAAGGAAATCTAGTAAAGTATGAACTTTCGTGAATAATGTCTCAGCATTGGCTCACTAACAACATGTGCCACAGCACCGTAACCTATTAATAGTAAGGGACGCCGGGTGGCAGCTATGTGGGGATTCTCCATACTGGCTTCACGGTTTCTCTGTAAATATAAAACTTCTCTAAAATAAAAGTTTATTTAGAGATATATACAATAGAATGTGAAAATCATATAGAATTGCATGAAAGACTTTAAAACATTAAAAACTGACCATGCTATCAACATGGTAAAATCAAGTGACGTTTATTCATATTCGACCTTGAAATCTAACATTTAACTCAACAGTCACCTTGATAAATTCATTTTCTTAACCCCAGTCTACCCAGGTGCTCACGTTTTCCATAGACTGTTTGGGAGAATGAATGTGCCTCATGCTCATACCAGTAACGATACGTTGACCGTTGACTCTCAGGCACATGCAGACCCCCGGGGTCTACAACTACACCTACCAGCTGGTCCGTGAGCGTGCGTCTCTGTGATGGATCTCTCTTGCGAGGAGCAGGAACAGATCCACAGACCTCTGACGCGACCGTTTCCTGGGTATTTCGATCATAAGAGCCACTAAATGCTAAATTTTACTTAAACTAGTCTGAATTGGGTTTTCGGACAATTAAATTGAAAATTTAACTAAAATTAAACTGAATTGGTCTTGATTAATCTTTTTTCTCCCCTAGCTATCTGTTTTTACTCATCTTTAGAGATTTAGGTGAGGACAGTAACTCCATGGCTTACCTCGGCCGCTCCAAGACCAACACCCTCTTCCTCCTCTGAACTCTGACGCGGAGGTGTACTTACCATTCCTCTGGCTTAGTGACACCTCCTGCGTTGTTATCATGCGATTTTCTCTATATTTATGACTCATTCACCACTAAAATGCTAAGCTCAGAGGACAGTGTAGTCCAATGTCACCTTTCCCACTCAGGTTCCAAAGAGTTTACAGTTGCTTGGCTGAGTTTTCTCCAGATCTGTGTGCACAACTTTAAGGGGAGGTACTTCATCACACAGATACCAACTCGTCCTAGTAACACAGCCTTCTCAAGGCTCAGCTTCCAGTCGGCCTCCCATCGTCAATGAACAAGGGAAGAAGTCACATCTTTAGGGCCTGTGTGAGATTAATGAAGGCAGAAGGGAACACTAGAATGTGAAAATCATACAGAATTGAATCATATAGAACTCATCACTACAGAGATGAGCCACGGCCAGCGAAGCATCCTGAGCTAGGTACCGGGTTCGAGGGGAATCTGGTTAGAAATCCTGTTCACTCGTCCTGTGTCCTTGAACGAATTGCCTATGTCTCAGGTTACTCACTGATAAGATCAGGATAGGAGATTATCTTCCTTCTAAGATCATTATGGAGACTGAATGAAATTACTCGC